GGCACTGATGAGACATCCAACGTTCTGGAAACACAAAATGTGTTTAACAAAAAAAAGACAGCCAGAGAGAAAGCTCGTCTGTGCCAAAACTTGAGTGTTTAGCAGGCGTGGGGCAATTAACAGAACGACCGGAGAGTTCTAGGATCTGAAACATTGCCCTATAGGATGCTGCAGTGCAAGATTTTTATTATTATTGATTATGTATACATAATCAATAATAATAATAATCTTGCACTACGACTCGTGTATCCCGCACTTTATTCGGAAATTTATTTCTGCACCGCAATAAATCTGGTCGGGTCCCGCGGTACAGCAGCGGGAATGCAGACCTCTTGTTCGCATTTACCACATCTCCCTTCTCGTTCGGTTGAAACCGGAAATACTATCAAACTGCAGAGGTTGTGTTCTTTTTCGAGAACAGGTCACTTGGTGCGCGATTTGCCATCTTATCTCACCGTTCTCTCTCCTCCACACTATCCCGTGATGACATTCACGCATACGCATTTGTAGGCATTAAATAAATAATATTTAATATTTAATACTTGTCTCCTATTTAAGTGCATTGTTTTTTGTTTGACGGTATTGAAACTGACACCGTTGCTATTTTTAGATCCCGCGGTATACCATATTACCGTATTACCGCCCAAGCCTAATACATATCAGATCAGAACACAAGCAAACCAGAGATTTACTTGATTAGTTCATCCCAAAATGAAAATGATGCCATCATTTACTCACCCTGCACTTCTTACAGACATGTTTGAGTTTTTCTTCTGTTAAACACATGAACAATGTCTCCACAGTATTTTTGTTCCTGCTATGGATGCCAATGGCTGCCAACATTCTTCGCAGTATCTTACTTTGTCTACAACAGAAGGAAAAATTCATAAAGGTTTACAACTACTTGAGTGTAAGTAAATGGACATTTTCATTTTTTGGGAGAACTATCCCTTTACGCAAGCAAATAAGAAGCAATTTTCATTCATTACATCATTAATCATGAAGTAATAAAGCCAAACGCTGCATTGTTAGCATGTGAATCAACTTATTAAGTCAGTTGTGTTCGCGGTGTAGGGGAAACCATCAGAGTGCCATATTGGTTTGAAGCAGATTCATATAAGCAAACCCGGTTGTTTGTTTTTGCCAATTAATCAGCACAGACAGCTTTTGGAAGTATTCTTAGAAACATATGAACAAACAGCCTCTGAAAGTGAAATAACAATCACTGGTCTGGTAACATGTGGCTTAAGCTCAACACATAAGCTCACACTTTCTGAACATCTGTTGCTTCCAATTCACATTCCAAAAATGAAAACTGATCTCCAAATAGTTTTGTATTTTAAATGAGTCTTTTCAAGCATTTAAATTGACTATTGCATATAAAAAAATGCTATAATGATAATTAATTAACACGTGATACTGTAGAGGGTGGGACGGTGGCTCAGTGGCAGAGGTGTAAAGAGTACCTGAAAACCATAATTGAGTAAAAGTACAGCTACCTTACTGTAAAAGTTACTCCGTTACAAGTTACAAGTCACCAATTCCAACAAGACTTGAGTAAAAGTATTAAAGTATCCAACTTTAAAAGAACTAAAGTATTTTACTCATACTGAATATACAGTAGGCTCAAAGAACACCCAAGAAAGGTTTTATTTCCTTCAATATAAAAATTCAATTGAACACCTCAATGTTTCAAAATGGAAGAACAAAATAGATTTTAAAAAATAGAACAAAAAGTATCAACCTCAAATGTTAAAAAAGGCACAAACAAGTCTTTTGTTTACTGACTTTCATGTGATTCACCTTTCTCAGTCTTAAAGGGAGGCTATACTTTTATTTTGAGTAGTTTTTCAAGTGATCAGGATGTTTTCTCTGTAATAAAACTAAACAAAGATGATCAGTGTTTTTTTCAACTAAGTAAACGTCAGCACCCTGCAGATGGCGATATCGCCTCGTTCGCCCAACAAATGTTAGATAAAGATGCCGACCACAATGTAACGAGTAACAATAAGCGTCCGTTCAAATGTAGTGGAGTAAAGAGTACAAACAATAAGTTTTATGCTCTCCCTGTGTCCATGTGGATGTGCTCCGGTTTCCCCCAAAGACATGCACTATAAGTGAATTGTGTGCAAATGCCAGAGTATATAGGTGTTTTCCTGTACTGGGATGCGGCTGGAAGGCCATCTGCGGTGTAAAACATATGCTGGAATAGTTGGCGGTTCATTCTGCTGTGGCAACCACTCATAAATAAGGGACTAAGCCGAAAGAAAATGAATTAATGAAACTGTAGAATTATAGTGTCTAACAAATTTCAAATTAAAATATTAATCATAGGACTGGGTGATAAAATTAGTATTGATTTCTTGACCGAACACCATTGTCAATATTGCTAAAAAGAGATTTGGTACGTAGTTTCGGTATGAAGCGCTATAGTTTTATTAAAATGTGGCTGCTGAGCGCGCACCTTGGAAGCAATGCAAAAAAGTTTAGGGTGTAAGTTTTCATTTCCAATGGAGGACATGCATGACATGTGACTTGCGCGCATTTTCTAGACGTACATAGTTACCATCTGAAATTTGACGAATGCTGTGAGTGCACCGCGATTCATGTATGTAGAATTATCCAATCTGCTTCACACTTTGTATGGAATATACACAATTCAGTAATAACGGCAGACTAATTACCTCAGACAAACATAATGCACCCAAACACTGCAGTGCTTTCTGTTTTTCTCCATAAACTTGTCATCCTCTGAGAAAACACTTGATGGTCGCTTCGTTACGAGAGACAACAGGGCAGTGCGAGCGCACTTGCCACTTCTGGTCAGAATAACAACATGTGAAAATGAGTACGGTAGCTAGTAGCCGTGAGAAGATTGTAAATGAAAAGCTTGTAAGGATGTCACCAGAGTGGCTTTTTGGTTTCTTTTCTTGTGCGTCCCAGCCACTAGCTCCCTATCTGAAAGAGTTTTGGCATAGGAGGTAATACCTTAGTTGCACACACTTTGGCCCAATCCCAATTCTACTCCTTAGCCCTTCCCCTTACCCCCACCCCTTGATTGGCGCTTGCACGCCAAGGGGTAGGAGTGTCCCAATTCTCTTTAGTTTGAAGGCGTAGGGCTAAGGGTTGAATAGCCCTTCGAATGAAGATTTTTCAGGATCACACTTGAAACCAAGGGGTAAGAAAATTTCCCAGAATACACCTCCCACAATGGCAGTATTGCTGAACCCGGAAGGAGATCCACAAATTAGTATTTTTTGTCATTATTACGAATTTTTACGAAAAACAAACACGTTTTAATATATTCATAATAACTCCTGTACAGCAGTCCCACAACATTCTGACACTCGAATACCCTGTCAGTAATGTCTAGTGGCTGAGAATAAGCTTTTTACAGTGTCTGCTATAATGTTAATGTTGTTTTTGGTGTGTTTACATTGATGAATATGGCCTCTGTGTAAAAACACAGTACAGTTACGATCTTATTGCCACATTAGATCGTTATGATAACATAATTAAATAATAATTAAATAAATAATTCTGACTTCATCTGTATACACAACAAATATTATTTTACTTGTTCAATCTACTTATTTAAAATGAGCTGAAACAACACAATTTTTCAGATTTCATTGGGAGATCTTATTTTTTATGTTTAATCCACATAATTGGTTAAAATGGTTACTTTAACTCTTTAACTGCATTTTTACAGTCTATCTATCTATCTATCTATCTATCTATCTATATATCTATATATATATATATATATGACACAAAATAATGTAACTGAGATTAACTCTTAATTCTACAATTATGGAATTTAATGCAAGTCATATTTGTCTTCACATAGCTATACAAGAGAAGCCATGGCGATTTTTTATTATGATTACACAGTAACCAAATTTCAGATGAAACCAAGTATTAGTCAAACATACTGTCTACTTTAATGTGACATTAAACATTCCATTTATTTATATATAATTTTTTGTTTTTTCCAGGGGGCTGTATAAGGAAACACCCTACCAGGATGACCATCACCCAATAAAATCTTTTTTTTTTTCTTGAGTGTTCACTAAGTTGCAAGTCTTATATACTCGCCTTAACGAATTTCTTCTACCCACTATGACAGTTGTGAATTACTGGGAAATATATTAAATTTTCATCATTCCTTTGCTGCATCTTTATTGCTGTCATTTCATGCTTCATTACTGCTAGCAATTTTACATGTTCTTCAGCAACATTTTAGCAAGTTGTAGCTGGCGAACATGAAGCACGACAAACTGCGCAGATGCATCAAACCCAAATTGAAACACGGAGGAAAGAGACATTGTGATACTGTGAGACTCCTGCTGTCACTCAGAGTGTCCATGGCACATTACAGAGACCCTCCATGAATGCACCTGGTACTGCAGAGACAGCTGACACACATCACAGCAACAGCTGACTGCAACAACACAACCATCACCGAAAGATGCAAAACAAGCTCAAAATTCACACCACCATGCTGAAAAGCATTCCATTAGTGAAATGTTGGCTAATAGGGTATTAATTACACGATGAATGCAGTGGGATGCTTAGGTATGACATCACTGAGATGTACAAGCAGCAGCAGCGTTACAAATCCATGCTTTATGACGTCACAACTCTGTGAACTCCAACATCACGCGTATAAACAGTGACGTACGACATAAGGTTTCGAAGAAGAAACAAACTGTGAGCTGTGACTTGTTCCATGACTTTGCTCACACATTCGAATATAGGCTAGCGTTATTTATCCCATGATGCACACAAGCAGTCAAAGCGATTGACCTATATATCTTAACCTGCCAAGTCATAAAAATCACGCCTGCGGCTTCACAGTTACCATCATCATCTCAAGCAAAAAAAAAAAAAAAAAGAGAGAAATGTTCGGTCACGCATCGCTGGCGTGAACCAGGATCCGCGGGTTCATCAGCACGAAAACAGCAAAGCGCGCGCCCCGCTCCTTCTCCCCCACTTACCGGATTTAAAAAACGCCGCTATGTCGGCCGCCTCCTTAGATGTGTCTTCTCCCTCCCCTGTACTCATCCTCGGATTCAATGGTTCTCCCTCAGCAAAACTCCCCAAACAGACGGATCAGTAACGGTTTTCCGAAATAAAGCAGGCGCTATGGACGGAATCCTCTTCATTGGAAAGCAAAGAGCGGCGTGCGAGGATTCGCTCCTGCGCTCGATGAGCAGCACGGACCCTCCATCTTGGCTTTAGCTCGCTGGAGAGGTGTCGGTACCGATCGGCGGCGCTCCTGAGTTTCAGCTGGGAGAGAAGAGGAGGAGGAGGATGAAGGGAGGGAGAGGGGGGAGGTCTTCTTCAGCAAGGGGGTCTCCAGGAATCCCCAACTACCCCACACACACCCCCCACAGGTCACCTCTGCTATTTCACAAGTTGTGTGCTATAGCCGTCTATTATGAAAGCCTACCAAGTACCAAATCTTTCCTATGCAGAAATTCGATGTACTTTGTGGCAATATATGCAAATTACATATATTTGAAGTCAGAATTATTAGTCCCCCTGCATTATTAGCCCCCCTGTTAGTTTTTCCCCAATTTGTTTAACAGAGGTAAGATTTTTTCAGCACATTTACAAACATAATAGCCTACTTTTAGCCTAATAGCCTACTCATTTCTAATAACGGATTTGTTTTATCTTTGCCATGATGACAGTAAATGATATTCTACTAGATATTTTTCAAGACACTTCTATACAGCTTAAAGTGACATCTATTAAAGGCTTAACTAGGTTAATTAGGTTGAAGGCAGGTTAGGCAATTTATGGCATATCGACGGTTTGTTCTGTAGACTATCGAAAACAAAAAATGCTTAAAAGGGCTAATAATTATGTCCTCAAAATGGTGTTTAAGAAACAACAAACTGCTTCTATTGTTGTCAAAATAAAATAGGACTTTTTCCAGAAGAAAAAACATATTATCAGATAGGCCTGTGCAAAAAAAAAAAAAAAAAAAAAAAAAATATATATATATATATATATATATATATATATATATATATATATATATATATATATATATATATATTATAAATTAAAGTGTGTGTCTGTATGTGTGACAGTGACCTTTGCGCACTTACCTTAATGTGTCTGAGAAAATCCAAATATGCATCTCAGCTCTCAGAACTCGAGTAAATGGAGTAAATAAAAACAAAGACTGTGTATTTATGCACCATCAAATGTGGTTATAATGGAAGTCAATGAAGCAAAAACAGCCACTAACAGTAAATTAGGGAATTATTATTATTTTTTTATCAGTGCATCAAAAGCCAATGTTGTTACTGATCGTTCACGTGTCCAAGACATGGGTAAAAAGTTTTTTTTTTTTTTTTTATTCAGTCCATGATTAATTTTTATATTGAAAATACGTGTTTTTTCACCAAATCACTGACATAATTTATGATTTTAGTGATTAAAGAGTTATTAAAGTAATTAAAGAATCTTGCCATTTTAGTAGTTTTAATCAGGCAAAAAAAAAAAAATCTGATGCATTTGTACAGTAGTTTAATTCAGTGGAGGTTTTCATCCCTAACATAGCAAAAGGGTAGTCAATTTGAACGGCGCACAAAGATCAAAGGAGGAGATTTAACTACAGATTTCAGTTGTTTTGAAAGCTTTTTTTTAAAGTTAGAAATAGTCTCAAAGTAATACTGCATTTCAGTAAGATTTTTTCAATTTTGTTAATAATAAAACAAAACATTTTCTTTTTATGTAAAATTTCTGTTTTGCAATGAACAAAGCCCAAATTAAATATTTTCCCAAAATAATAAATCTTTAGCAAAATTCTTAAATTCAAAAAGAGAATTGTCTTTCCACAGCAAATTAGAATAATTGCATTGAATAAATGGGCTGAAGTCTCTGGGTGTCTTTGTTTTAACAAACTTTTGTACTAAAATACATTTTTTTGTATTTTATTTTTAACAGCATTGTCTGGAAAGGCTATGGATAATTCTAATGGAAACTTCTCTTATCTGATTCATAAATAAGTTACTATTTTAGTATAGTATTTACATGTTTGTTTCCAATCAATATCAGAAGTTTGTAACTCATTTGGAACTCATACAGTTGCATTAAGAAAGTAAAAGAAGAATATTATTTTGTTTAAAGACTATATTTTCCTACCATTGTAATAAAAGGGGCTTACGGAGCAACAACAGAATAATAGAACTAAATAGAATTAATAGAATTGCAATAATAGAATAGCTCCAGATGATATGGCATCCAAAACAATAGCAAATTTGGTCACAATAAGGTTTCATTATTCCTGTATTTATAAACATGAACTAATAATGAATGATATGACAGTGTACATTTTATTAAAAGCAAAACTCAATGTTTACTAATGGATGGCGTCATGGTGGCAGTGGGTAGCACGATCGCCTCACAGCAAGAAGGTCACTGGTTGGAGCCACATATGGGTCAGGTGATGTTTCTGTGTGGAGTTTGCATGTGCTCGCCGCGTTCGTGTGGGTTTCCTCCGGGTGCTCCAGTTTCCCCCACATGTCCAAAGACATGCGGTACAGGTGAATTGGGTAAACTAAAATGTCTGTAGCGTATGTGTGTGAATGAGTGTGTTATGGATGTTTCCCAGTGATGGACTGCAGCTGGCACCTACATGCTGGATAAATTGGTGGTTCATTCCACTGTAGCTATACCAGATTAATAAAGGGACTAAGCCGAAAAAAAAGAAGGAATGCATTATTAAGTTGTACGCTTGTTAACATTAGTTAATGCATTGTGAGTTAACATGAACTAACAATAGATGACTGTATTGTTGTTCACTAACATTAACCTACCGTTAAACAATTACTGTAATAAATGTATTGTTCATTATTTGTTCATTTTAGTGAATGTATTACCTAAGATTAACAAATACAACCTTATTGTAAAAGTGTTTTAGATTCTTTAGAGGTGATGGAAATATCTTATAGTTTAAGAGAGTCTTCATGGTTTAATAAATGGCCATTCAATAACTGATTGAAAAAAATATTTGCTTGAATTTCTGTTTACTTCACCTCCTTACGATGTAGTTCAGGGGTTCTCAAACTGTGGTACGCAGGCTTCCTTCTAGTGTTACGCGGAGAAATCGCTGAATAACTGAAAAAAATTAACAATTTTAACCCTTTGATGCGTACGATAACAACGATGTGATCAGGAAATTGATTTTAATAGGCTAAACTTTTTATTTTATTTTAATTTTTCTAATGTTTGTTATGTATTGTATCTTTTCAGGCTACTTTCCTCCCCATACTTGTAAGGATTGTTGGGGCATATCTTGTATTTTTATATAAAAATGTTGACAGATATAGTTTAATCACTTGCTTCTCTGACACACATAGCCTACTATAACGAGCAGTAAGCTGATCTAATTTCTAATTTGAATATGTAAATCCAAAAATATGAAAAAACAAGTTAACATTTAGATTTCAAAGATATACGAATAAGGCATATATACATTCAACCTATAATTCAAAATTTATCAAACAGAGTTACATATGAATATTTTGACATACGGTATAACCTATATTTTTGAGGTCCAAGAAACATTTTCAGTTTTGGATGAATAGGCTACTTTATGATAATACTTTACATTTAAGTACAGCAGTTTTCTTTTAACATTTTTAGAACAGTGTCATTTTTAATTAACTTTTAAAATCACATTTTGATTTTAACTTTGACGTTTTATTTATCTTTATTTTACCTGTAAGTATGTTATTGTTCAAACTATTCATTATGTTTAAAGTGGCTTACAATAAAAAAATAATTCATAATACTAAGAATTAATCTGCCTTGTTTGTGAACTGTGCAGAGCTGTAGCCGCTTAATTAGGCCTACTATGTATTTCAATACCAGTCATTATGGTGGTACTTGGAAAGACTTTTTTTTTTTTCTGAGGTGGTACTTCGTGAAAAAAGTTTGAGAACCACTGATGTAGAAATTGAGCAATTGAGCCCTCTAGTGAAAGTCATATGGAATTACACTGTTAGAAACGTCATCTGTTTATGAAAAGCTGCATTACAGACGAAATAATGTACAGTATACGGCTTCAGACCTGGAGATAGTTGTGGACTTCAGGAGTGCTTTACACATACTTACAAGGCCGGATTAACCAATATGCATTATGGGCACAGGCCCAGGGGCCTATCCGCACTTAGATTTTGCCTACACTTCATCACGAGGAAGACAAGTGTGAATCATTAATAAGTGTGTGTATTATGGAGGACTCAAATTCCTACAACTGGATTGGAGAGGTGTTATATCCAAATAATGCGCATTATAAGTTTGTAGAAATTTTCCATTAAAAATACCCTTAAATATAAATTTTAGTACTGCTTTAGAGAACTTGAACAAGTATATAAAAATCCATTAATTTCCCCTAGGTGTATTAGTATTTTTGTTTTTCAAAGTGTGCTTTAAATGCTTTAAAAATAAGTTAAATCTTTGTAGACTAGAAATATATGTACTGTATATCATTTATTTTGAAAATGTGGGCAATACATTATAAATTAATTTAACAAATATATATTAATCTTATTTTTTAATTAAACTATGAGGTGCAGCTATAGGGGGTCTTCAAGACATTTTGCCCAGGGGCCTCTAAATTATTAATCTGGGTCTGCCCACTTAGCATAACTTCATTTAGGTTTCAAAGCTCCAGCATCTCTCAGGTCCTGAGGTGGGGAAATCACATTGTAAAAAGATCCAGCAGAGGTCGCACTTCCTTCTGCAGCTGAGGAAATTCAACCTACCACAGGAACTTCTAACACAGTTTACTCGGCTCTCAGTTCTCTGTTCTTCAATTACTGTCTGCTTCAGGTCAGCCAATAAATAAGGGCATGCTGAGAGTATTATTGGTGTGCACCTGCCCATCCATGGTTGGGCAAAAATAAAATAAAAATACCAAATACCTTAAGTTTAAGTATATCAAAATGCACAACAAAATAAAACAGCCATAACATGTATTAAAATATAATACTGTTGTTTTGTATTTTAAAAATACTACAAATACTTTTACAAAGGAGCACGACATTTCATCAATAGGCCAATTCGATCAATCCCTTGCCATTAAACTGACTGTTTGATAGCAACAGCTTTTCTTTGAAGAACTTTTAACTTTGCCACCACATTCACTTCTACTCCTACTGTATGAGTTTATATAGAATAGTACATTAGTAATATTCTCGTTGAGTTTTGTATATTTTGTAAAAATTCCAAGTCCTGTCTCGAAGATGATCCCTTACTGTTTAAACCCATTT